GCCGGCGGCCGCCCCCGCGGCGCCCACGCCTGCGGCCGCCCCCGCCCCTGCCACCAAGGAGCCGGCCGCCAAGACCCCCGTTCGCGCCACAGCCGGCGTCGGCGCTGGCGCCCGCGAGTGAGCGGGCGTTACGGCCCTCCCTCCCCGCACCCCTTCACTCGTACCCCGCACCGCCGCGCCTGCCTATTTCCGGGTGCGTGGGACCGGGCGAAACGTCCAGGGGCGTTTGTCGGCTGAACAGCCGAGAGTCTTGAGCGCCCATGCGGGCTTATTGCGGTTGTGCTGTCACGCACAGGGCTGTAGGCGTCGCATGGCACGGGCGGCCCTGAAATCCGTGGGCTAAGCCGTGTCGTGTGTGAGTGTGTGTGTGTGTGGCCCCAGGGTGGCCCCTGTGGTGAGGCCCTGCGTCCGTGTCTGGGGGTGGCGATCACACTCGGCCGCCACGGGCCCTGAGTAGCTTGCACGCATCCATCTGTTGGCGGGTACGTGTGTTTGCAAGAAGCAAGGTGTCGGCTCGAGTGCGCTGGCTGCAGTATTCCGCACCGAACACGCCGGCCGCCTCAACACTGATCCTTGAAGCACGGGGCAAGAGTGACCAGTGTATAGCGGAGCGCCCCCACCACACCTCTGTCCCGACCCCTCGCAAGCGTCCGTCATGGCGCAGTCAGGAAATTTGCCGAGCGCCGCCGAGGTTTTGTGAGCCCTTCCTGGCGCGCGCCGGCCCAGATCATATCACGAAAACGACCCGCCGTACTGGCGCCGCTGTGCCCTCGGGGCTGGCTGGCAACAAGCACACCCATCACCTGCAAGCCAGATGGCGCACGCACACACAGGCACAACGTGCTCACTGAGTGCGCAGTAGGACATTTGGGGCCTGTGGTATGGCTGTCGCGGATTTTGGTGAGATGCCATGTGTTTTCTAGGTTTTGCAGGCCGCTCTGCGACACTGGCGTGCCCACATGTGTACCGAGGGACGCCGGGGAATGTGAGAGGCGGAGCGGAGATCGTCGGCGCGTGTTGCGGTGGCAGCGACAGCACCACGCCACACCAGGAAGCCATGGCATGCCTTTTGCGCGAGTTTCAACCAAGCAGTTTTGCTCCGTGATTTTCGCACCTTGTCACTGTAATTACACAATCGTACCCTGCAAACCAGCCTGTGCATCGTGCCTAGTCAACATGAGTCAACATCTGCCGACAGATTTGTCACTAAGCGCCACCGAGCCCCACACTTCCCAGCTGCGAAAGCGGTGACGCCATAGCCTTGGGTAGAAGTCGGCTTGACGCTGCTGGATAGGGTGTGAAGCATGCCACGTGCGTGTGGCTGACATGGATCCACGCTGGCATCTTTGCGAGGTATATGTCCAGGGAGCGTCCGGACGAGCATTTGTACCAGTTCCACAACAGATATTGAATCGGCATGCCCACCAGCGTCGTCCAGTATCGCCGCACGAACAAATCAACGGTGATCTGGTGCCCACACAGCTGGGCCAGGCCGATTTGGCAGCCGGCCATAAGGCGCTACACGACCCCATGCAGCCATCTGCAAGCTTCGTGGGGGCCAAGCTGCCTTCCAGCGGGAACAAGTGGCCAGGTTCATTGGCAGCCCGTGGCAGCCGATCGCGCGGCCTGCGAGTGACTGCCTCCGTGGGGCCGCAGCACGGGCAATCTATCCGCAGCCATGTCTATGCGCCCGCCCGCGAAACGGCCGCGGCCGCGCCGGCGAGCGACAACGGCGTTCGCGCTGCGGCGCACGTGCAGCCGCCAGTGCAGGAGGCGCCGCAGCCGAACCAGCAAGCCCCGCAGCCCTTGCCGCCGCCGCCGCCTCCACAGCAGCAGCAGCAGCAGCAGCAGCAGCAGCAGGTAGCGCCGCCATCCCTTGACCTGGGCGACGCGGCCGGCTACTGGGACCTGCTTATGCACCCCGACACTGAGGCCACCATCGCGCGCGCCAAGAGCGCGTCAGACGCCAGCCTGCTGCGCCGCAAGGGCCACCTCAAGGAGCAGGTGACCACGACGCACCGCATCGCCCGGCACGCCACGATGGCCCTTTGCGCTGCTGTCGTCGCCGCGGCCCTGGTGCCACTGCCGGCTTGCGTTGGCGCACAATTCCAGGCGGCCCGGTCGCGGATGTCAGCGCATCACCAACCTCCTCCTCCACACACTCCCCCCTCCAGGACCACCTCATTGAGTACATGCGCCGCATGCACGAGACGCACACGTGCATAGAGGTGATGCTCAAGATGGAGCGCTGGATCACGGTGAGCGGGGTTTGACCGGTCAACTGGTTGGCTGGTTGAGCCATTGAAAGGATGACCGGTCGCCTGGACGGAGCAGTGGGCCCAATATGGGGGTTTTCGGATGGTTTTGGGAGGCAGGCGGGTAGCAGGGGGCAGATTGATTGTGGTTTTCGTTGGGTCGCACGAGGTGACGCCGCGACGTGTTGCGCGGGCTGACGCCTGCGGAAGGGACAGGGACGGCCTGGGAGTGCGCGGGCCTCGCGTGCAGCAGAGGAGCCTGGTGCAGAGGAGCCGTGCCGGCCCAGCCACGGCGGGAACGGGGCGCATCCAGGGCGGCGCCCCGCGCCGTCCATTGGCTTCCATTGGCCGCGAGCGGCGGGCGCACTCATGCCGACACGGCCGCGACACCTGGCGCCCACCCGACACG